ATATATATATATATATATATATATATATATATAGGTTAAGTATAATTACTTCAGAGCGCTTAGAGATGTCTAAACATGTTTCAATGACATTTTTCATAGCGGGATCGCTTTCATCTTCCTGTTGGTGCATTCGGCTTTATTTGCAACTTGTGGATTTGGTTTAATCGTTCTCTTCGCAAATCTATCGTTTATTTTGAGTAGATCGATTAAGAGTTATAAAGCATGGCCTCAGTATATCTGATTCGGCCAAATTGTAAATGCTCTTTTTGATAATGAGTAGTATTGCTCCATATTTACTGAAAATCGATAAGCTAGCTCTGAATTTAGCAGGGGTTTGGTACAAGATCTTAGGCTAAAAGCTACGTGTTGGCAAGATAAATTTGTGAGTTCTTGTCGAAGACTAAGATCACTGTAAGTTTTGGACTAAGGTCCTTAAAATGTTAAATATTACAGTTATTGAGAAATTGGTCGATGAAACAGCAATGAATCGCTTAATATAGAGAACTCATTATTAGATTTATTGATTATGTTTATCAATTGAAGGGTTCGAAATGTCTCGAGCATATGGCAAGAGAACTTCCCTCATTGAGGAAAGGGGAAATTTCGTAAGTAATTGGTTAGGTGTTAATAGTAGCAAGAGAGAGAGAGAGAGTATGCGTATTTAAAGTGCAAGTAGTTACATGAAGGTTGAGAAAGAGGAAAATAGGGAAAAATCATGCTCAACTTAACAAATCCCCTGTGTATGTGCATCGGAGGATGAAGAAATGAAGAAGATGGCGGAGGAGGAGGAGGAGGAAAAGTTTGGCTTCGTGAGGAGAGGAGGGGCGGATAGTTAACTGTCCGGTCTTTCACCTCGTTCACCAACCCACCCCTCCTACCCTCCAACTTCTCTGGCAGCCAATGTCTTGTTAGACGTTTGTGGGTACGTGAATTATTCACGTAGAGTGTGAACACACACACTAACACAACTTCATGTGGTGGTCGGGTTTGGTCGGCATTCTCCCGTAACGAAGGCTTCTCCCACACTGTGTTCTATCCCTCCCCTCCCCTCCCCCCCCCCCCCCCCCCCCCCCCCCTTATCCTGTATTCTCTCTCTCTCTCTCTCTTCACTTCTGCCTTGCAGAAGTAGTAGCCACTTGGAATCGAGTTTCGCTTCGCGCGTTTAACGCCACCGATGTAGTGTAGTATTGGGAGTTTGAATAATTTAAGCGAGAACTCCGCGGTGTTGCTTATAAATAATCCATGAATTTGCCGATCGAGAAGTGTGACAGAAGCGCCTCCCACTACCTTTACCCACCTGTGAGATATTTCTAAACGCCAATTTTCTCACTTTTTTGTATATCTTTCAGAGCTTTGGCAAGTGTTTGGACTTCATACAGCAACAAGAGTTTTCCAATAGAACGGCTTCGTTAATTGCGTCAATTAACATTGAGTTGAGGAAAACACACTTGTCTCCCAGTCCTGAAGATTCGGGGGTAATCAAAGCTTTCAAAACAACTGTTATTGAATGCCTTGACAGCTTTTACTCATCTTTGAATACTCTTCTAATCGCCGGTCTACTCGATCCTAGAGTTCGAGCTCAGATCCTTGAAGGTGCCCCTCACTCTGTTCAAATGTTAAAGGAGAAAGTAAGTGCTTAACAACTTCCTATTCTGTTTTTTCTCTTAAATTGCTTATTCTTAAGTGTTTTGTTTCAACTTCAGGTTGAAGGGTTAAGTCATCTGAGAGCTAAGGAAGAACTGTTTCCCTCCATAGCCAATTATGAAGTGGATCGATATTTAAAAGAAGAGATGGCATGCGAAGTTCACGCAAATCCCCTTAAATGGTGGATTGATCGACAATCTACATATCCTCTACTGAGCCGACTGGCGAAACACTACCTCGATATACCCCTAGCATCTTTCAATACGCAACTCCGATTAAAACCCCTTCAAAAGTCGTACGAAAAGGGAATCCTATCCAGCCCTATCCTTCCAGACGGTTTAAATTTCCCCAATTACCGTGACGTCTTTGCTCAATTGAAGATGAACCTTTCTACTGAAGATATGCTCATTTATACCTTCCTATGGCACAACTGGCATTTGCCATCTAATCTGGTGAGTTAAGGTCTCGCCTTGTTACTAAAATGCATTTAAGTAGATAAGTTTCTAATCTAATTTCGATTTTCATTCAAAGGAAATGGAACACGGAGAGCTGTCCCAAGTCAAGTAAATGGAATAAAGAAAAAGGCGGGCATTTTCTTTATAACTTTTCTTTCTCCACTTGTAAATAAGTGTTTATGTGATTTTAAAATTGCATTATTTAGAGAAACTTTGGAGTTCTGCTATTTTTAACCCCCAAAGGCGCTTAGTTGTAGATTTTGCTATATTTTCTTTTGAGTGAAAATGACTGACACGGTTTTTAATACATTGGGTAGAGTTTACTTGACCTTTAAGTTTATTTACAAAACAAATAAATACAATATTTACTGGGCTTCAGCGTGGTTGGCAGTCTACCTTGACCCCAATAAACTCAAAAAACGTGAACAAATTCACGAAAATTGTTGTATTCTGTCAACGGTAGTTTTTACAACCTGGAAAAAATGTTTAAAAATCACGATGTTAGTCCTTTTCCTGAAAATTGGAGAAAATATTGGCAATAATGATGGGTTTTATAATTCATCAATTCATCAAACAACTGCACTTAAAGTTTTCGAAATATTTTAAATCCAAGGGTGAAAAACCATTCATGAAAATTTAGGTAGCCAGAGGAGGAGCATATTTTTTCAATGTCGACAGGATGTGGTCAAATTTGGGGCTGGGGAGAAAGTTAATGGTTGTTCGAAATCACTCTGGTTGCAATTCTTGTTCAAATAGTGTTAAAAACTTTCATTGAATTGACAAGCTATTCAACTACGCACACAGGAGTCATGAACATGCTTCGAAACTAAGAACATCCCCCTTCTGTCTAATTCTCCCCACCGAAATCCTGAAACACTTTTTGAAAAAAATTTGTGTGTACAACGGAAAATTTCTAATATAAATTTCACTCGAGAAAACTGTAGAAATATGAAATTTCAAATACCCAAGGTTATAAATTCGGGGTGTGCGATAGACTTACCTCCACGTGGTGCACCCTGGGCAACGTATTCTCATACGGCAAAAAGGTCTATTATCTGGCAGTTGACTTCAGACTCCAAACTACCATCACCCCACTGTATGTCAAATTCGACTACTTCAACCGTATTCACCTCACCTTTTTTCTACCTTTGTGTCAGTCTGTCTCTTTTGCATCTTTGAAACACTCTTCTGCCCCCCCCCCCATCTCGACCTTTTTCACTTTGATGTTTCTTCCCATCTGTGAAGCCTGAGGTCAACTAGAGAGCTAATGATAACTATCAAAACGTCTGCCATTTGATCTAAGGTTATAAATTCTAGTAGCGAGTTTGAAGGTCACCGATTGCTACGAAGAAGGACAGCATCAACTTGGACGATCATGATTGCAAATGTCAAAATTCGACTTTAATCAGTAGGAAAACACAAGTAGACATGTGTCTAGAGCTGTTATTTGTCAATATTATTATTAAAATAAAAAAATCAAAATAAGCATTCATGGTCAAAGTAGTCAATTATTTTTCGAGGATCTTAAATCACAGTTCTTTAGAAACCGAATTATAAAATTAACATTTTGAGTTCAAATTTGATTGAATAAAAATGGAATAAGTTGAAAACGAAATCTAATTTGCTTAAAATCGTCATGGAAAGAATTTAGACAACTTTTTCTCTTCCAATGACGCTCTTTTTCATAATGATTTATACAAAAGATAGCTAATTTTATTCGAATTAACGCAGAATTGCGAATAAAGTCGGTTGGACTTTGTAATGCAGTAAAGATTAGAATTATTTTTCCATAGGAGAAAATCGATAACTTTTGTATGGAACTTCTAAAATATATTGGAATTATTATTTAGATTCAAAATTTCTATAACAATTTCGCTTTTAAGCAAACCATTGAGAGTAGTTGATTGTTAAACAATAAAGTTATAAGAAAGTTTGAAAATTCAGCTCAAGTATCCCATTTTAGAAACTGTCAAGATACCAAAATTCTGCAAACAATCTGTAGCAGTGAGTAAAACGAAGAACTTTTGGTGCTGTCAGTTGCCTAATTATCGGCTCGTGGGTTTTTTCGTTCTCGATTGGATATTCAAGACCACATCTGAAACAACAATTGTAGCAATTATTGGCTAATTATATACCCAATCATTCACCACATATCCTATATTATATTTGGTAATTGGGGTGCGCAATAGACTTACCTCCACGTGTTGCAACCTGGGCAACGTATCCTCATACGGCAAAAAAGTGCATTTATCGGCAGTTGACTTCTGACTTCAAACTTAAACCGGCAGTCGACTTCTGACTTCAAACAACCATGATCACCATTGTATGTCATATTCGATCACTTTCAATCCTACCTTTTCTCTGCCTTTGTGTCTGTCTGTCTCTTTAACATCTTTAAACACTCTTCTGTTCACCCCCCCCCCAGATTTTTTTCGATTTGATGTTCCCCTTCCTCTATGAAGCCTGAAGTCAACTAAAGGGCTGATGACAACTATCATAAAGCCTGCCATTTGATATAAATATTTGGTAATTTATTTTAATAACAGAAAGCCGTCGTTTTGTGGTCCGATATTGTGTTGTTATTTTTGGCATCCGAAAAGTTGTAGTTTCGTAAAAATATATAACCGAAGGTAAGTATATTAAAAGGTTATCGAAATTGAAAGATCTATCGTAGTTTTCTACTCAATGCCTATCAAAAAATAGACCCGAAAAGATTGCGATAATTTTTAAGTAATCACGCACCTTAATGTCAGAAGTAAAATTAAACACTTTCTCTAGTTTCAATTACGATAGCTGATGAGAAAATGGTTACTAGATATATATATGTCATATAAGTTGGGTTACTAATAAGTTCACGCAAACTAATTTTACAAAATGGTAGTCAATGAAGTCATTGGTCAACGTTAATTTATGCCCAATGCCCTCAAAGAATATGAAATGTTATAATTTTCAAAAGTCATAGAAATGAAAGCGGTACATTTTGCGTCATAAATATTATTAACTTATAAAACTTATCACTTACAGAGCAAAAGCAAGCAGTTGTGCAAGTGTTCGATTAACTCTCTTTTAGCAGCAGTTATCTTATTTTACTCATATTTATCGAAGCAAATAAGAAATTACATAAGCTGTGGTCAACATTTTAAGTAGTCAAACAAATCATAACTGTTTAAACAGTCGCATCGAAATTTCGAGATCAAAGTAAGGTGGCAATACTTATGCAATTTGATATTTTTCTCTCACTTTACTAGAGAGTGGACAACTATCGACTCAATGGAACAAAATAGTGAAGGCCGTATGAATTTGATTTAATCAAAATACTTTCATAATACTAACTGGAATCAAAACCTCAGCGAAATTCAAGTATATTATATAGACATATAATTATGAATATATTATTATGGTATAAAATTCATTTTTGTACAGTTACAAATTTTTCATATTCATCAAAATAAATTCTAATGATGTATATAGCTGAAGCCATTATCGTACTCCACGAAGTTACTTCAAATGTTGAACTATAACTAATATTTAAAAAAATGTGTAGTATACGTTTAAATAAATTCAATTAAGAAGGTAATTATCTACTGTGATTATAAATTTACACAATCACAATCATTATTTTTGGCAGTATAGGATTCACTCGAGAATTAGATTTAATGCAATTGACAAATCCTTTAATTTTGTTAAATGTACACATGATATGTTCATTATGTAAATCTTTAAATTTTAAAATTCGGTGCTTTTGGTTAAGACGCTAACATACCTAATTTAAATTAAACCAAATGCGTTATTATGCTATCCTTCAAAGTATGCGTTATAGCCATCTGTATTTTTTAGATCAAATGTCGTCTATCAAATATATCTGTTCATTTCATTCGGCTGTGATACTAAAATATACTGAATAATTGCGAAGAGATCCATTTTGACAAGAATTGGAAACTACTCGTGAATAAGCACATCTCATTATAAATAACAAAAGTAATAATAAATTGAGTCTCCCAATCTCATATTTCAATTAAGTTAAATTGATATTTCATATTCCATTATATTTTACACTTTTAACTTCTATCATTTTTCCGTGAAAAGTTTTATGAATACGTTTATGGCAAATATTTTTTAATTCGTGTTAGTTTGATATTGCCATTCTTGTTCGACCAGTCCGCTTAATTGTCAACTCACCGGATCAGTATGAATTCATATGTTGGTCGGACAGGAACAATTTGTTCATCTTTTTTTCCCATCTGTATATTGACCCTTAATTTTTCTCTAAATATTACTGCTTTCTGTATTCATTTCTCATATCTCGCATACACGGACTCTACGCCTCTCAATCCCTTCATACTTTCTCCTCTGTATTAAAGAAAGTTCTTCAACAAATTCGCTTTTCTCTCGGACTAATGCAAACGAAGTAAAAAATATTTGTATAAATGTACGTCCACTTGATTTAGGCAATGCAAAAAAAAGATATAGGATAGTAATGTTGAAGTGAAAAATGTTCATAAAATTTGTGGACTTACTTCATCGGGAAATAAATTTCACATCATGTTTTCCTTTTAACTGGCTAAAATATAATTTATACTCCTCACTTTTTATTATATGAAATTATTTTTTGACTAATAGATGTTAATTCATTATTCAGTCTTCCAAAACTTCCCAAACAATAAATCTTAGTTGGTATCACTCTTATTCTTGAATTTAAAACCAGCTTTGGACAACAGCGAATCGGTTTTACATGTGATACACTATGCGTAATTTATAGGAAAGTTAATACATGTTGAAAAGATGGTCAAACTAAATTTCACAAAGTCAAATAGATGGAATTTAACAAGTTATCTATTACTGACTTAAAAGAATGGTTGACATTTATGATTTATACACTGTTCTATTTATCAGTATGAAGTTAATAACGCTAAAATATATAAAAATATTTGTCGTTGTAAAGATTTTTCAAATTGTAATCAAAATCCTTTTAAATTAAACCAAAGGTCAAATACAAACGTAAAAGATTGAGGAATAACATTTGGCAACCAAAAAGGTGAATATCCACCTCCTTTATGATCAAATTTGAGCCGATTCTTAATGCAAGGAGTACGAAAATGACTTTTAGTATAAAACATTCTGCTCTATAGCCATAAATCACAGCTTAACCGTGCTAAGTTGGTGATTGAAACGCTAATAATGAATATGAAAGTATATACATTCTGTATCTAGCAAACTTAAGCTGTTAATTTTAAGAAAAAAGCTATGTGTAAGTAGGGAAGTATCATGTGTATTGTACAATCCATACGAATTGAATATAAAAATACTAATATATACTGAATTTATATTTCCATGATAAATAGACGAAATAAGCATGAATTATAAATGAATTAAAGAAAAATTTAAAAATCCTTAAATCTCTATGTAATTTGCTATGATATATAAGTAAGCAATAGATAACTTTATGATACCCTAAAATCTCACCCGGTACTTTTCTAAATAGAAAATGGCGCGCTCCTTTTATTATATGCATTTTTGTACAAAATAGTCTGGGACTGATATTCGTGGTCATTAATTGGATATACTGCTTGGAATTAATCGTAACTTTTACCATAAGTCTAAGAAAGAGATAATTTTGCAAATAATTGCAATAATTAACGTATATTAATTTAACAATATATGGATAATCAGTCGTATAGTGGATATAATACACCGGGTTCCAGCTTCCTTCAGGAACTGACCGTAGAGGATGGCACGAAAGGTGTGTTTGCCGGTGGCCAATCTTCTCAGCAGCCCCCTTATCCGACTTACCAGGTTCCCAATTCTACAAATTACCCGACAGCTTCAGACGTCCCTCCTAGCTCTTATTACAATGGTCAGTACAATGCAGATTCTTATTATTACAATCATCCGTCGTACCCTCAAAGAGGAAAGTATCCAGAAAATTATCCTGCAGGCCAAGCTATGCCCTCCCAACCTACACCCCAACGGTCAGTTTCTGGACAGTCTTCTATGAACCCCTCATGGCCAGATAACCAGCAGTTACCACAATATCAATCTGATCCCTATGCTCCTCAGTCTACATTCCATTCTGGCGGTAACGGTAGCTCTAGAATTTCCGCATCTAATTTTGCTTCAAGTCATATGCCTGTTGCTAGCGGCTCCTCTCAACAACCGTCATATCAAAATTCCTCTTATCAGACTTCTTCATCACTCTATTGTCACAGTGAAACTAGCTATTCTGGTATGCCACAACACGCACATTCTTTGTCAGTTAACGGTGAACCCCAAATGAATCTATATTCTCAGGAATCTCGAATTCCTCCTCATCCTTCTACTAATATCTCTTACCAACAACTGCCAAAATCTTCTCCCAGGCCACTCCCAAAGCCGGTCATTAATCAACCTGTTCCTCCTTATCCCACTCAACCTAGTGTTATGGAGTCAACTAAAGCTCTGCAGCATTTTGTCAACACTCAATGTCCTCCAGCATCATCATCATCACATGAGCTTCCGTTGCAAAACCCTAGTCCTCCATCCCTCCCAGTGCCAGAAGACCGCCGTTGTCTTCCAGCTGATAAACAGTCAAAACCAGTATCTTCAGCAATTCCAGACGTTCCAGTCATTGAAGTCACAAAACTTGGCCCACTTCATGTCAAGTCTCCAGCGATGTCAAGCCAATCTCATCTCCATCAGACATCACCAAATCTTCCTTCTTCAGCGACGGCTTTTTCACCAAACTTTGACCAGGTTGGTCTGATTTGAAACTCAACATAAATGACAAATTGAGTATTTTAAGGTCGCGATTGCGCTCTTTATGGTGTGCATTTTTAATGTTAGTGTTCTGTTAGTCTGTTCTCATATGTTGGTTGCTCTAATGATACTCCACTTTCAGTTTCTCTTTATTTGAATTATCCTCTTTAATGAATTTAAAGCTTAAAAGCAAATAGACTCATTCAAAAATTGCTCTACATAAGATAGTAATTCTCTTTTAGGAAGATGATCTTTTGTGTAATTTACTTTTCAAATCTGTGGTCCAGGTGAGTAAGTGCTACCTTACGCGTAAGGTCGACTTTTAAATACCCCCCCCCCCCTTTAAAAGGATTGTGGGATCAGAACAAGAATTCGGTAAAGTTAGCTTTAGCTGTTCCTATGTATTTGGTATTAAAACGCCTTATTAATGTCTCAGCCGTTTGTCTTTTGCGTTAGCTTGTGGTTTTAGATTTCATTTTTTGCTATTTCTCTTCTTTTCATACAAGTCTGATAGGTTGAAAGGACTGGAGATAACTTTAACGTGTTTTTTATCCATTTTTTGTCTTTATACTCTGAGCACTTAACGCTCAATTTGGCTTGGTATTGTATCGTGTTTATAATACCTCATGGCTTTATGACTCTAGAAATGATTGCTCGTATACATTTGTTTTCCGCTTGATGCGATTAGTATTTTACCTGTTTTGCAGAATTGATATTCATTTAGCATTGCCCTAATCTAATACGAAAAGCTCTAAGTTTGTTTTACGCTTGTGCCAGTAAGTTCTTCACTTCTAGTTATATATTAGTTTGCATGTTTTCTTAATATTTCCCAATATCCTTTAGGCAAAAAAACTCATTTTACCACTTATAGGCCAGGCTTATCCACTGCGTTTGACCATCCATATGACTGAATGTATAGTAGTGGGAGTCGTTATTGTCATGATCTCTGACTTAGCAGATATGTTCGTTCATACCAGTATCCAGGGAATCTTTTATTAATGGACTAGGCCGTTTCCCTTAGCAAAGATATTCACAAGACGGGTAGCATCAAAAATACTGCATTGGTCTTAAAAATGAAACAAGTTTCACGTTGAGAGAACCAACACCAACCCCTCTTCCCCCACTTCTATTTGACAAGATCTAAAGCTTTCATGTATAGATAGAAATCACATGATTTGGCTGTTTCATTGTACCTAGTCTCTCTGAGTACATGTGTGTACTAATAGATATAATAGCTACTTTGCTAGGTTATAAATAAGGTTAAAATCAACGCATTTTTAATTGGAAGGCAATGTGCTTAGTTCTAGCTGTGTTGAAGACGCTAGTGAGATAGCGCATTGCAATAGTTTTATGTCAACACTCGTATGTGTGTGTGTGTGTGTGTGTGGTTGTGTGTATTTGTGTGTCTTTTTCCGCCACCTCACTACTTACGATCCATTTTTATCCATGCTCTTTGCATTTTACAGGCTCAAAGAGAGGCCAGCCCTCCACCTCCAAATTTGAAATCGCCACACTCACTTCAAAGCCCTCTGCCTATTTCCACACCAATTGACAACCAAGCTCCTCCCATTCTCCCGAAAGAAGAAATTGAAGGCGATAAAGAGCTGAGTATGGATCAATCTGATTACGTTCCAGCTCCTGAACTGGGAAAATCTGATCTAGAAACTGAGAGCCCTCCTCAGAAGAAACAACGGGGATGTAAGAGGAAGTTAGAAGGGAATGAAGAAACCGCAGATACAATCGGTAGTCCCTCAAGACCCCGCAAAAAACGGTCTGAGGGGAAGCGGAAGACTGAAAGTTGCGATCAGCCAGCGAAAAGAGCACGCAGAAAGACTATTCAAACGAAATCAGATGAGATGGAAGATAAACAGAACGAGTCTGAGGCTATTGAGGAGAAAATGGAAGTTTCAACAAGCGCTGAAGTTTCTTTTGAATTGCCTTTGTTGGATGAGGACGAAGATACGATGGCTGCTTCGGTAGCCGCACCAACAGATGACGAATCTGTCGCTGCAACAACGACTACGACAGAGGAAACAGCCTCTGAGATTGTGCTCAAACCTCCCAGACCTCCACCCCGAGTTCGAGCACCAAAGCCGAAGAAAAAGAAGTGATTTGATCTTTTGTTTTTTTCCATGAGAACTCAGTTATCATGAAAACTACTTTTGTGTTCGAGCTTGGATAATTTAGCCATAACTTCTTTCTAGTACATATCAGAATCTGTTAGTTTGAGGCGATTTTTTGTCTTGATCGAATTAGATGTGACAATGCCTCATGGCTTTACTTTGATTTCTTTTTATACTCGAGGAGACCCTGTATTGTGTTGTTTAACTTTCGTCTTAAAAAAATGGTCTTAGTTATAAATGGGCCTATTATTTCACCATTCGCTGACCTATCTACAGCATGATTAATGTTTTTTTAGAACTTTGAAATCCTTGATGAAAAAGAAGCGACGATGCGGTTACTATGGCGAGCAATCTGACGGCACGGAATCGGAAGACGATTCCCCTGCCGAAAGACCAGTTAAACGCGGAGCTCAAAAGGCATCCTCCTCTCTCAGTCTACATTCGCAATTTGCTGAGGATAACCCTCTTGACAGTTCAGTAAGTTTTACATTTTTTGTCATTTACCGGTGGTAATGCTTTGGCCTTCCGAGAGATTTTAGAGAAGATCGAATGACTGAAGCAACTTACATTTCATGCGACCATGTCTTGTTTCCTTGTGTTTAGTCGAGAAGGTCAGGACGCCGAGCAGCAGATCGCAAGAAGTACACAGTCGAAAGTGCTGATTTCGGTCTCTCGGATGATGAGGATTCTGACGAAACTGATAATGGCACTGTTGAGAACTCAAGAAAACCCTCTGTAAGTTCAGGAGCCTCCTAGCTTCTATGTTCATTTTTCCCTCTTTAGAATGGTATCACCTCTAAGTTGCAATTTTTCAGAGCTCGCTCATATTGGTCATGCTCTTCGATGGAGTTAACTTTAGTGAAATTCAGTCTTCCTCCTGTGGTCCCTTCATTTTTTAATTAATTTTTTGGTAAGGAGATTGTCCCGGAACCAAATTTCACAAGGGCAAGCCACTTCAATTCCTCGGGTGATTACTTGGGCACATCAACGTGCTTTCCTTCGTACTTGTGCACATCTCATAATTAAATTGACAGTTTGCAGCCCCCATCAGGAGTACTGATCAAGCTTGTCTTTTCAAATTTAAGAGCTCTCAGTGAAATTATGAAACATTGGTCTTAGCTAGGGACCTTATGTGTTAGTGGTTCGTAGTGTTTCGCAGTCATTCGTTCAAAGCCCCTACGATAAATTACGATCTTTGGAGTTGACGTTTACATTGCTTTTATTTGTAAACAAAGAAAAAAAGTAAAAAAAAATCACTGGTTCTATATCCGGTATCAGTTTGTTCGCACAAGTCGGTTTATATTCATTTACCTTATTTGTTATTGGTTAAAACGACCCTTTACTGTTTAAGCATGATTGCAATTTTTTGTTAAGTTTCCAATCCAATTATCATTTTCTGTATTGCAATTAGGAAATTGTGGCTTTTCAATGTATCCGTTTGTACATCGGTTTTCGTGTTCATGCTTTCGAAGCTTACGAATATTTTGTCCAAGGTAAAGTTAAATGAATCCATTTTATATGATTTTTTTCAACCTTATAGGATGCTGATTTCGTGGAGATAAAAGTCGTTGAAAAGATTCTTGGTCGACGAATGTCGACACGACCTGTCAAGAAGTCCTCACCTTCAGTCAGTTCCACCAAGGGGGAACCGACTTCCTCTGAAAAGCGTGAAGAAGAACCATTTGCTGCTTCAGTATTGAATAATATTCAAGTTCCGAAGCAAAGCGGTGAATCCAAAGAAGCCTTCAGCCTAGAAAAGACGGAAAATGAACAAAAAAACCAAGAAGAGGAAGAGGAGGAACAGATAGAAGAATTCTACATCAAGTACAAAGGATTGTAAGCAATTACTAAATTGTTATTACCCATTTAATCAAGCATTTGTTACCAATGCATATTTGTGCCTTGTTTACTAGCTCCTACATGCACTGTGAATGGAAAGCCCTAGATGAAATTGAAGACCCAAGATTTGGAACTAAATTGAAGAAGTTCCTCGCGAAGAACGGTGGTAACGACTCCCAACCGGATGACGACGAGGGCACAACGGTTCTTTTTAACCCCGATTATGTGGAAGTAGAGAGAGTTCTAGACATTCGAATCTACGACAAAGCTACAGGTGCAATTGTCACAGATGATGTGTTGAATCCTGACGGAACAACCAAACGCCAACCTCGAAGTCAGAAGAAGGTCAGCAAGAAACGTGGAAGACCTCCCAAATCAACTACCAAGGAAGAAGACATAGAAGATGATACTACAAATACTCCTGAGACTGTTGAGTCTGATGCTCAAGAGGAGGAAGATGAGCAGCCCACTACAGTAACTTATTATCTTGTTAAGTGGCGATCTCTCCCTTATGAGCATTGTACTTGGGAGCTAGCTGAAGATGTTGATCCCGCAAAAGTAAAAGAATTTATGAGGATTAGGAATCCGCCTAAAAATCCACCGGTTATTCGGGACTCAAATCATAGGATTATTCGACCTGATCCGTCAGAATGGCAGAGCATAACTATTGATGAAGTCTATCGAAATGATAATAGACTTCGTGAATACCAAGTTGAAGGCGTTAATTGGCTGTCCTACTGCTGGTATAACAAGAGAAACTGCATTCTAGCAGATGAAATGGGTCTGGGAAAAACCGTACAATCGATCGCTTTTCTGCTCGAAGTCGTAAAATCGGGTGTCAATGGTCCCTTCCTTATCATCGTTCCCCTCTCAACTGTCGGTAATTGGCAAAGGGAATTCGAAAACTGGTCAGATCTAAACGCTATTGTCTACCACGGCAGTTCAGTCAGTCGTAAAATGATTCAGGATTATGAGCTCTTCTACTTCAAAAAGAAACCCTCTGGATCTAATAGTTCTCTGTCCATTCTCTCCAGTGCCAATTATCGGCATGATGTTTATAAATTCAATGCTCTCATCACAACATTCGAGGTTCTTATGTCCGACATTGAATTTTTCAGTAAAATGCACTGGGCTGTGGCAATCATTGACGAGGCACATCGATTGAAAAACAAGAAATGCAAACTTGGCGAGGGCCTGCGTTACCTTGACTTTGTGAGTGCATTCTTTTTCACTAATTTGGCACTCAATTCTAATAATAATAATAGCGACCTAGGAATCTTGTTTGCACATGCTGTGCATGTGTATCAATAGTTTTTAAATGGGGGTGATGGGGGGGGGGGGTCGTGTATTTGCTCGTAATACTCAAAGTTTACTAGAGCAGTAGGGTGAGAAGTGGCAGTCTAGTTATTTGTCTGATTATAATTGAGTTTAATTAAATGTGGGAACTTTGGGTTTTGAATTTAGGATCATCGAGTGCTTCTAACGGGAACCCCGTTGCAGAATAACGTTGAAGAACTATTTGGTCTACTCAACTTCCTTGACCCTCAGCGGTTTGGATGTGCAACGACATTTCTCACTGAGTTTGGCGAATTGAAAACGGAGGAGCAGGTTGAGGATTTGAAGAAACTTCTCAAACCAATGATGCTTCGAAGACTTAAAGAGGACGTTGAGAAAAGTTTAGCCCCGAAAGAGGAGACTATAATCGAAGTTGAGTTGACCAACCTTCAAAAGAAGTACTATCGAGCTATTATGGAAAGGAATTTCAACTTCCTTTGCAAGGGAACTACCGGATCTAACATGCCTAATCTCATTAATGTAATGATGGAGCTACGAAAGTGCTGTAATCATCCCTTCCTTATTAAGGGAGCTGAAGAAGCTATTCTAGCAGAACAGAGGTCTCAGGTGAGAATGAGCAAACCTTGTATTCATAGTAAAATGCTTCTAAATGTCTAAAGCCAGTTTCTTTATCTTCTAGGCAAACGAAGACCCCTCTAAACCCTACAACGAAGAACAGCAAATGTTTAATGCAATGCTGAATGCTTCAGGGAAGCTAGTCTTGATTCACAAGTTGCTACCAAAGCTGAAAGCGGGTGGTCATAAGGTTCTTGTCTTCTCACAGATGATTCGAGTGTTGGATATTCTTGAGGACTATTTAGTCTACCAGGGATTCAGTTACGAGAGAATAGACGGACGAATTCATGGTTTACTACGTCAAGAAGCTATTGATCGTTTTTGTAATGGTAAGTACACGCTGTTTGGTGTGATTTAGCATCTTTTGCATTAATTTGATAATTAAGAGGACAAGAACTGTTTATTTGATTTATTAATGACTTTGGGTTGGCACACTCGCTCTCCTGATGTTCCGTCTCCTCTTTTTTTGCAGATAAACAGAAGTTCGTATTCCTGCTTTGCACAAAAGCTGGGGGGTTGGGGATCAACTTAACAGCTGCAGATGTTGTCATCATCTATGATTCAGATTGGAATCCACAAAATGATCTCCAAGCTCAGGCGCGTTGTCATAGAATTGGTCAACAAAAGATGGTGAAAGTTTATCGTTTAATCACACGCAACACTTACGAAAGGGAGATGTTCGATAGGGCCTCTCTAAAACTTGGTCTGGATAAAGCGGTTTTACAGTCTACTGGTGCCAATGCAAGACAAGCTCAACTGAGCAAGAAGGAGGTTGAAGAACTACTAAAGAAGGGAGCTTATGGAGCCCTAATGGATGACGATAAAGCAGGAGATGATTTCTGTGAGGAAGATATTGACCAAATACTCCAGTCTCGTTCTCATGTTGTCCAGCTTGAACAAGGAGAGAAGAACTCCACCTTCTCTAAGGCAACTTTCTCCATCTCCGATACTCGCAATGATATCGCTCTGGATGATCCAGATTTCTGGCAGAAATGGGCAAAGAAAGCCGGTGTGGAGCAAGTTGGTCTGGAATACGAGGTACGCCACTCTTCCCGTCTAGTTTAACCTAATTAAACGGACATAACTTGCGTGTTCGAGTTTAATTGTCCTTTTCTGTTTATGTACGATTGACTGAAATGGGAGAGAAGAGAGAGAGACTAGTAGTACCTGGCCGTCCATAAATCATGCTCTTTCGCTCCTTTTTTCAGTTCTCTCTGCATTTTGTCCCCTCTCCACTCACGTCCGCACGACTTGCATTCAATTTATGTACACACGAATTTATAACAACCAGATGTTTTCCATTTGCAGAAGCATTTCTTGGCTTAAAATAACTACTCTTTTGTCTGCGGAAGACATAAGGAATTTTAGTATGTTTTTGGCCAAGTTGTGAAGCACTTATCAGCATGTACGTCTGCCAAGTAAGGTTCCATGAAACTAGCGTTTATCGGAGCGCATCCAATGATGTGAACGACTGATTGCAACTAGTCGGGGTGGTGGTGGGGGGGGGGGAAGGGGAGGGGGGCGGGGCGGGGTAAAATACCAGTGCCTCACAATAATGGCTTCGGAATACCCTTACGCGCTTAACCGCGCCATAACAGTTTCTGTACATTTACGCCAAGTTTGTTCCTGTATCACTTTTTCTTTCAAGCGCAAAAATTAGCTTGAATTAATTGTAACATATAAAAATAGTATCTTTGTAACCCTCTCTCTCTCTCTCTCATTTTGCACCTGCGAAACGGTTTTATCTGTTTTGTTCTTGTTGAATACCAAGAATAGATTTCCATTCTAATGGAATGGATGATAATAATGCGAATATTTGAGGTATCGGGTCGAATTGTAGCACACTGTTTAGAACTCAATCTTTACCTTTTTCAGTGGCTAAAATAACGTAGTGAATAAGGACAAGTAAGATCAAGGACAACAGCAGGAAAACGCGACCTATCACCGGCTTGTGTCCTTAATTTTGTTTCGCCTTTGAAGAGAAGTTACCATTAGATTGCTAATCCACAATAACGATCTACAATATGCTATTATAGATATACCAATTATCCGTTTCTTTCTTCTGCAGGATCTGATAATGACAACTCCACGTCAACGTCGGCAGACGAGTCGCTATACTGCCGAACTGAACGAGCAAGCAGCTAACAATAGCCTCTCTCACGCGGCCAGTGGCTCTCGTCTTCAGAATGGTAAAAATGGCGCTGGTAGTAATGGCGAATCCTCTGATGGTCAGTCTAGTTCTGATGAAAGCTCCGGTGGAGATGATGATGGAGTTGAAGGAAATGCCTCTGGGAAGTCCAGACACAAGAAAGGCAAAAGGAATCAGCGAAGTGACGCTGAAAACACCAACAGAGTGGATCTCTTCCGAGTCGAGAAGTGTCTATTTACTTGGAGTTGGGGTCGATGGGCTTATGCTCTGGATAACATTCCCTTTAAACAGATCTTCACAGAATTGGAATTACAGAGAGTTGCTCGGTGTATTCTTCGCTACATTCTTAAGGGTTCTCAAGTGCTAAATGCCAGTGGAGATGGCCGAATTCGTGCTGTAATCATGGAAATGATTAACTCTAGTGATCCTAACACCCTTAAAACCATTCCTGATATAGTTCAGGCTTTGAAAAACTCAAATAATGCCGTCACAGGAGTGGGTAGTTCAGTTACTCGACGATCAAGAAAATTGGGAGGTCCCAGAGAAACAGACTCCCCGAATGCTCCTAGCACTCCAACTACACCTAACACAAATATGACGTTTGATGTAGATACCCCGAGACAGGAGGACCCCGAAAGCGTAAAAAGAGAGGACGATGACTTTGGAATTGCTAGTGACTCATTCAAACGTCATTTAGCCCGTGCTGGTGGTCGTCTACTAGTCCGAGTGTACATTCTGTATTTCCTGCATACGGAGATTGTTGGTTTGGAACAAGCTGATGGACTGTGTGATGGAACCCTTGATCACACTGCCTTCGTCCAACTTGCCGAAAGCCTTCCGCAACTCAGGGCACTGGATGCGGATGTTCCGGCGGAATGGTGGGATTCGTGCTGTGATAAGTGTCTCCTTTTGGGTGTTTTTAAACACGGCTGGGAAAAATATGCTGCCATTAGAGATGATCCCGCTTTCTGTTTCTATAGACGTGTTTATGGGCAAGATGCTCCTAATATCCCAATTCCTTCTACAGTCGGCAGTTTGAAAATGGTTGAAACTAAAACAACCGAACAACCGAAGAAGCCTGAATCATCATTATTAAAGCCTGAAGAAAAAGAAGACAATGATAAAGAGACACCACTAGCTATTGATTGTGAATTGAAAGAGGCTCAAGATGAGGACTTGAAGAAAGAACCACCTTCCAAAGTAATGGGGGAGGAAGATGTTGAATTACCTCAACCTCTTCTCCTGTTCCCAACAGCTGTAGATTTGAATAGTCGAATGCGAAAACTAATTGCTTACTTCCAGCGAATTCGTGCCCAGGTTGAAATGGAGGCTTTGCATAGTCTCCGTGCTGAATTCACTCCAACCATTACTCCTCAATCCTACCTTGATCAACGCATGTAAGTTTTCCACATCATCATTCCTCTCTTTTGTAATTGGAAGTTTTCCTCTGATTAGTGTTTATTGGAATAGGGTGAAGTATGTGGTTATTGTGATCAATGCTTTTCTTAGTTGTATGGCCCAGAACAAGTAGCTTGTCTCTTCGCCACGTACATAATTGTGCTTTTTAATTACCGGCGCACAAATTGATTTGCAGAGGAGTGCATCGGTGACGCATTGGTTTTTGTGGTCGTTTTCTAGGTCAGAAGTCACATGATCAATCCTCGTCCGTGAATATTCAGCGACAGACTGCACTGGTTTATTCTGGTCGCAAGAAGAATTGATAGAATGAGAGAAACTTGTTGAAGTTATTGAGGGGCTTGGGGTGGTATAAGCGTGCTCGTAAAAGTATGCGGGGTTAGAAACGTAGATACACCCGATACCTATTGCTTTGTAGCTTGGAAGTGGTTTGTTGGGATTATAATGTGAACTGGCCTTCATATTACTTAATGTCGCCAAATTAATCAGTGCCTTAGTTCCAATAATCCATCTAAATCCTGAGATGACAGGGGCAAGACGATATTCGTTAATCATCTGGGCTGACAGGGAATAAAGATTCTGATCACCAAGATTTAGGCGAAATTTGGGAAACTAAATGAATAGCCTATACTACACGGAGCTAGTTACTATTCGAGTGCTAGTGATAATTCAGCCGACAATTGATATCTTCATTGTTTGCTTTGTTACTGATACGTGTTAGCTGCATATCTGGAGAAAGTGCATATCCCTTCGAGTGTGCTGTTATTCAACTTTCATTTGATATTTTTGTTAGCAAATGGTCCCGTCGCGAGGAGGCGGATTTCTACCGTGTTGTGTCCAGCTTCGGCGTGGAACAAGTTATGCGATCTCCACACCAATCTCCGACAAGTTCAACGACTCGAGGACAACTGGGACGCGTCTTTGCTGGATATAATTGGACTAACTTTAAGGGATTAGCTAACCTCTCGAAAAAGAATGATCAAGCTATCACGGAGTACTACAACGCTTTCTTTACAATGTGTCATCGTGTTTGCAAGGAACCCCTGCCTGAGGGTAAGCATCAAAATACACCTATCTGCTTTAACTTGCAGCGTTATTGAATTCCTGAATAATTTTATTGTCAAAATCAAGAGAAAGCGCGTGAATTTCCCTATGAATACTAAGTTCAGGTTGAAAGTATTTGCTATTTCTGTGAAGCTTAAAATTTGGCTGGTTTATCGGTCTCCGTTAGAAATCGCCTCATCAAATCATTGGAGGCTGATTGTCACTACATTTACTTATTGCAGTAGGGGTAAACATTTCGCTACAACAACCCTTTTGTAGATGGTGTGTTTTTCATGAGATGTTTATTTATTTATTTATATCAAATGGCAGGCGTCTTGATGGTTATCATTAGCCCATTATTTGACTTCAGGCTTCACAGAGGGGAAGGAACATCAAATTGAAAAGTCGATAGGGGGGGGGGGGACAGAAGAGTGTTTCAAATATGTAAGAGACAAACACAAAGGTAGAACAAAGGTGAGGTGAGTACTGTGAAAATAGTCGAATATGGCATAGAGTGAGGTGATGGTAGTTTGAAGTGAGAAGTCAACTGCCAGTTATTAGACTCTTTTGCCGTATGAATATACGTTGCCCAGGGTGCACCACGTGGAG